GACGCGGGGGCTGCAGGCGGCTGTGCGAGCACCAGTACGGGAACGCGCCACGGGTGCGCATCAACGGGCACGTGGCGGCGCGGTTCCCCTTCATCCCCCTGCCCCTCGACTACGTCCTGCCCGAGCTGCTCAAGAACGCCATGAGGTATGGAGGCTATAGGGGGCGGGGGGTTATATGGGGGGGGTATAGGGCCCAAAGAGGGGAGACGTGGAGCTTTAGAAGGGAAATACGGGGTTTTCTGGGGGGGTAAGGCAGGGTATGGGGCCTTAGAGGGGGCGTATAGGCCTTTATAGGGATGCATTGGATCTATAGGAGGCATATAGAGACCTATAGCGAGAATATGTGGTCTATAGAGGATGTATGGGGTCCTATGGAGGATATGGAGCTCTAAGGGCACGATGTGGGGCTTTTAGGGAAGGTATGGGGTTTTCAAGGGGGGATAAAGAAGATTAGTGGCCCTATATGGGGTGTATGAAGTCTGTAAGGGGTGCGTGGGACCTATAGAGGGTGTGTGGGGCCACGTGGGGGGTGTAAGGAGCCTATAGGGGGGACATGGGGCCCTAAGGGGGGCAGGGAAATGGGGCTTTACAGGGAGACGGGGTTCTCTGGGGTGGGTAAAGGAGGTGACGGGGCCCTATAGAGGGTGTATAGGGTCTTACAGGGGATGTGGGGTTGGGTGGGGTCCCCAGGGGGTCCCCACAGATGTCCCCAAGGTGGCCTTAGCTACTGGAGGGTCCCCGTGGTGTCCCCACGTCCTCAGGGATGGTCTCCATGGTGTCCCCGTGTCCCTAAGCGTCCCCAAGGTGGCCTTAGTTACTGGAGGGTCCCCAGGGTGTCCCCATAGGTGGCCTCCATGGTCTTCCCACATCCTCATGGGGAGGTTCTCCATGGTGTCTTCATGTCCCCGTGGATGGTCTTCATGGTGTCCCTATGAGGGGGTTCTCCAGGGTGTCCCCGTAGATGTCCCCAAGGTGGTCTTAGCTACTGGGGGGTCCCCGTGGTGTCCCCACGTCCTCAGGGATGGCCCACGGATGTCCCCAAGGTGTTCCTATTTATTAGGAGTTCTCCTCAGTGTCCCCACGGATGGTCTCCATGGTGTCCCCATGCCCGTCCCCAAGACGTTCCTCTCTACTGGGGGTCCTCCAGCCCCTCCCCTCTGGTGCCCGCCATCTT